AACTTCCAGAATTCAAGCTGGATTTGGAAGAGGACATGGAATGAGGAATATGATTGCTGATGTCAGATGGATCTTGGCTGAAACCAAAGAATACCAGACAGATGATTACTTGTGCTTTAATGATCATGCAATAGCATTCAATTGTGTGGATCATCACAAATTATGGATAACATTGAGAAGAATGGGAATTCCAGAACAATTAAGACCAGGAGCCTGTCATCTGAACAGAACAAGGGGATACTGCATGGTTGAAAACCAGGAAGGGAGTCCTTTCACCATATTTACTTGATTTGCATGCTGAGCAAATAATCTGAGAAGCTTGACTATACAAAGAACAATGTGGTATTAGGATTGAAGGAAGAATCATTAACAACCTGCAAAATGCAGAGGATACAACTTGCTAGCTGGAAGTCAAGATGACTTGAAACATTTACTAATGAAGATTAAAGACTACAGCCTGCAGTATGGATTATAACTCAACATAAAGAAAATTAAAATCCTCACAACTGGACTTATAAAGCAACATCACCATAAATGGAGAAAAGATTGAAGTTGTCAAAGATTTTGTATTATTTGTTTCCACAATCAACACCCATGGAAGCAGCAGTCAAGAAATTAGACAATGTACTGCACTGGCAAGTTTGCTGCAAAAAAACAAATCTACTTCCCTAGAGATACTGCCTCTGAAACGCAAGGAGGGGTCACTATGAATCGGGGCTGACTCGATGGCACATAACAACAACAACAACAACAACAACAACAAAGTGTTAAGAAGCAAAGATGTCACTTTGAAGACTAAGATGCACCTAACACAAGTTACAGTATTTTGAATCGCCTCATATGTGAAAAGTGAACAATGAATAAGAAAGACTGAAGAAGAGTTGTTACCTTTGAATTGTGGTGTTGACCAAGAATACTGAAAATGCCTTGCACTGCCAAAGAAAGAACAAATGTGTCCTGGAAGAAGTACAGCTAGAATTCTCGTTAGGAGTGAGAATGGCCAGACTTTGTCTCACTTACTTTGCTCATGTGGTCAGAAGGGACCAGTCGCTGGAGAAGGATAACATGCTTGGTATAGTTGAGGATCAGCGAAAAATGGGAAGTCCCTCAACGAGATTAATTGGCATAGTGGCTGCAGTGATGGGCTCAGGTACGGCAAGGATTGTGAGGACGGCACGCAACAGGGCAGTGTTTCCGTCTGTTGTACATAAGGTCGCTTATGTACAACAGAATAGATTGATGGCACCTAACAACAACCCACCAGCCACTCCTCGGAAGGAAGGTTGGGCAATCCTACTTCCGTAGTGATACTGCCTCGGAAACCCAAGGAGGGGTCGCTATGAGTCGGGGCCGACTCGACGGCAAATAACAACAACAACAACAACAACAACATTATGATTCAAATCACAATTGAGCCTTCCTCAGAATTTGTAAATGCAATTAGGGCGCAGGTGTATAGTGTAAGGCAGAGTGAAGAAAATATTTAGAAATAGCAAAAAAAAATTTTTGTTTTTGTTTTAATTTCCTGTGTTATATCCCCATTTTTCCTGTGGTAAAGACTGTGTGTCAACTGCTACTGGGCTGTGGCTTTGAATGGCTGGACACCATGATGAGATTGTGACCACCTCCAGGGTACAATCTGCTGCGAGCAGACAAGTTGTTGCCTTTGTGATGTGGACTGTTTCCAAAACATATGAAGAAACTGGGAAAGTCTCTAGCTTTTGGCACATCTGGATCCTGCATCTTGATGTTTTCATCTCAGTGATCTGCCATGTTGCTTGTAGATCTTGGAATTGTTCCTGAACTTGAACCCATGGCCTGCTGTGTGCCTGTTGGTTTGGAAATTTTGCCATCATTCCACTTGCTGACCTTGGTTTGGTCAGCCTCAGCAGCAAGCAGCTGCCTGAATTAAGGATGCCTTCAGCTCCAGTGGGCCTGGAGCAAGAAGCAGAGCTGAAGCCCAAAGTTTAGGGGTCTTCACTTAGCCCTAGAGCTAATACTCTGAATTTGGACTTCTAACCCCCTGACCTGTAAGAGAATAAATTCCTGTTTGTTAAGGCCATTTATTTGTGGTATTTCTGTGATAGTAGCACTAGAGAACTAAGACATTTCCTATCTTCCCCGCAACATTGCAACAATTTATACATAGCTGATCCCCTTTTATTTCCATGCATATTAAGTTTTGACACATTAATTTATTCCTGCAAGCCGTTCTTTTGGATCGTTTATCACCACTTTCAACCCAATCATTTTTTAATCAGTGTACTATATTTTGAGCAATAAAGTATAGAAATTCAGTTCATTGTACATGATGCTTCTAAGTCCATCATCACATTGCACCAGCAGCAAAATGTGATCCCTGATCAGAAGGGTTGAAATATTTTCTGCTGTGACCCTCAAGTAGTGTTAGAGACATTAGCTTCAGTTACTAGGTCTGAAACTTCAAATTCAGAATATATGCCTCAGGCAAGAAAATTGGTATCTACCTGGAAGCATGGGTAGCAAGGTAATATAGTCTACTTTCCAGTGATGGGCTCCTTGACAGGTCCCCTTGACAGGGGGCCCAAAGCTTCTATTCCTTTGACAGATGGTCCATAGATGCTATCAAAGTTTAATGATCCTGTGTAGTATAGATGGTTTAATAGGGGCTAATAATATTCCCTGGTGTGGTATGTATTTCTCCAGAAACCAAATTATGCGATCAGATTTTTGATTTCTCCCTTTGATTTTTGTAGCTGGCAGGGTAAAAAAGATTACTCACAGTTATTGTTGGTTGCTTAAAGAATGTCCCTAGTTCCTCTGGCCCACTTTATGGCTAAGAATTTCACTGTTTTGCTAGGGTCCTGTGTTTTAGTTAGGTTATTTAGCCACTCTAGGATGCTTATATGATTGTCGGTTCAAACTCACTAGCTGCTCTGCAGGAGGTAGATGAGGCAATCTAGTTCCCTAAAGATTTACAGCCTTGGAAACCCAAAGGGGTTGCCATGAGTCAGAATCTAGTTGATAGCAGTGGGGTTTCTATTTATTTATTTATTTATTTTTAGGATGCTTGTATAGGAATTCTTGCATGGTGCAAATGGTTAAGTGTCTGGCTACTAACTGAAAGGTTAGTGGTTCACATGTACCCAGAAGTGCTTTGGAAGAAAGGCTTGGCAATCAACTTGCAAAGGATGGAAATTCCTATGGAGCACAGTTCTGCTCTGAAACATACACAGTCTCCATGAGTTGGACTTGATCCAATATCCACATTCTTTTTTTGTGAATGGTGGCTATCTGATTAACAAGCCTTAGCTTGATCTTCAGACTGAGATAGTCACAGTATATCAAGATAACGAATAAATCCTTCTACGTAGAATTAAATCTATATATAGTATAAGTATGTTGAGGCAATAACAGAAGAATTCAAATATACTTGTAGGAGCCCATAAATATGTACCATAGTTTGTCCTACATGAATACAAATATACTTTGGTTTTCTTTAAAATAGGTATTGAAAAAGATACATTAGGAAAATTAGTGACAGAATACCAAATTTATCTTATTGTACAGCTTAAACATAAACAGCATTTTGACAGATGGTTCCAGAAGCTCTGTGTTTCTGTCTTCTAGAGTCTACAGTTAGTCTCCAGGATCCATCATTATTTCTCACTGGCTGTAAACCAAGAAAAAAACAAACTCACTGCCATCAAGTCAATTGTGACTCATAGCCACCCCCATTGCATTTCTAAGGTGGTATCTTTATGGAAGTAGATTGCCCATCTTCCTTCCCCAGAGTAGCTGGTGGGTTTGAACCACCAGCCTTCTGGTTAGCAGCCAAATGCCTTAGGCACTATGCCACCAGAGCTCATTAGCTATAGTAGACTATTAAGCAATGGATGTAGATATTGGTATAGTTGTATTTAATATCCTTAATTGAAGTCAATATATATATATACCTATATATATATTTTTTTAAAAAATTGCCTGCAGTAAAGTCTTTTCATATTTTGGTGTACAGTTCTACAAGATTTGATAAATACATGTGTCATCAGGATTAATCTTCTGTATAAATAGTAATCTTATCATCACAAACAGTGTCCTTGTCTGTGGCTCTTTGCATTGTAGGAGTACATACCCAGATGTCAATCATCTAAAGTCTGTTCAGATTTGTTTTATGGCCCAGCATACGCACTTGAAAATAATATGTGTTCTGACATTTTGAATGCATACTTGCTTGATAGTGTTTTACAAGTAATTTATTTCCTTACTGATTTTCTGCTGATGTATGCTATCAATTATTGAGAAAAGAGTGTTAAAATCTCTAACTGTAATTACAAATGTATCTATTTCTCCTTTGGTTTTGTCAGTTCTTTTATTTTGTTTCTTCTATTTTAAAACTCTATTTTTAGCTGGAAAACAATTCATATTGTTATTCTTTTTGATGGATTGACTTTTTTTTATTATTTTGAGGTCCACATTTATTGATTTATTGCCTATAATTTGATTTCCTTTTTCATGCATAATAACATTTCTATTTTTGTAGTCTCTCTTGTCTGTTATATTACCACTCTAGCTTTTCTACTTTTGTATAATATTTCATTATCTGGCATTTTTCTTTTAAATTATCTGTTATTCTATATTTAAAATGATTTTTATAGACAAACTCACTGCCATCAAGCCAATTCTGACTCATAATGACCACCACTCATAGACTATAAATCTTTGCGGAAGCAGACTGCCTAATCTTTCTTCCATGGAGTGGCTGGTGGATTTGAACCACTGACCTTCTGGTTTGGAGCCAAATGCCTTAACCACTACAACCCTAGAGCTCCATTCTTTTAAACAGCATGTCTTTAAATCTTGAGATTTTTATACAGATTGATAATAAGTGTTTTATTTAGTGTTCATGCCATTTACCTATTTTTTAAATAACACTATATAGATATAACTGGCACAAATAAACTATTTACTATATATAATCTGATACATTTTGGCCTATATCTTGTACATTCTCCCTCTAGAAACATGTTCAAAAGAAGACATAAATATTGAGAATGGATTTATTTCTGAATCTCAGTATATATATGCTTTAAATAAACAAACACAATATAAGTGTAAAGAAGGATATGTAACAGCAGATGGTAATAAATCAGGATCTATTACATGCTTGGAAAATGGATGGTCAACTCAACCTAAATGTATTAGTAAGTAATTTAATAATTTCACTCTCCTGATTTTAGTTTTACAAATGTTTAGCTTAATTCTCTTCTTTGAGGATAGGAGGGTAGGGGTAAATCTGACATGATTCCTTTTTAAGGATAAATAAAACACTTTGAAAAATTAATTATATATTATGTATATATATAGAAAAGAGAAATTACTTATATATATATATAATGTAGGATTTTATATATAATATAAACTCACTGCCCTTGAGTCAGATCTGACTCATAGCCACCCCTCCTTAGGTTTCCAAGGAGGTATCACTATGGAAGTAGATTGCCCAACCTTCCTTCCAAGGAGTGGCTGGCAGGTTTGAACAGCCAGCCTTCTGGTTAGCAGTCACATGCCTTAGGCACTACACCACTAGAGCTTCCCCAAATCATATAGATGATATAGAAACCATTATATAATGTTGAAATCTTATATTTAATGTAGAAGTCATAGATAAAATGAAGAAACCATATATCAAATGTAGAAATTGTTGTTGTTGTTGTTGTTATGTGCCGTCGAGTCGGCCCCGACTCATAGCGACCCCTCCTTGGGTTTCCGAGGCAGTATCACTACGGAAGTAGGATTGCCCAACCTTCCTTCCGAGGAGTGGCTGGTGGGTTTGAACCGCCAGCCGTCTGGTTAGCAGGCAAGTGTCTTAGCCACTATGCTACCAGAAAAATGTACAGATCTTATATGTTATTGTTGTTGTTATTTGTCGTCGAGTCGCCCCCGACTCATAGCGACCCCTCCTTTGGTTTCCGAGGCAGTATCACTGCGAAAGTAGGATAGCCCAACCTTCCTTCCGAGGAATGGCTGGTGGGTTTGAACCGCCAGCCTTCTGGTTAGCAGTCAAGTGCTACCAGAGCTCCTATATAATGTAGAAATCATATCTAGATAGATAGAGTTATTTGTATCTTTTCTATCTTTTAGCAATTACCAATAGGATACAGGATCATTCCATCTTTTCAGTTCAAGTTTTTCCTACTTTAAAGCACTCCTGTGATTTAGAAACAAGTTAGGGATACTCATGTGTATTCTGGTGTAAATTTGTTTTGTTTTCAGCTGAAACTTTCCTGGGTGTTATACCTGAGTTTAGGTGACTAATCTCAATTGGTGTCCTTCTCATACACATTGATGTTACATTTTTCAGTGAAGAGATGAGTCCATAGTGCAAAATCCAAGAAGAATTTGACCTTTATAATTTACACAATCCAGGCTGTAAAAGAGGTTGACTTATGAAAATTCCTGCTGTCCTTTTGCAAAATCTTCAGAAATATCTAAGTAATGAAGAGAAACATTTCTTGATAGTACTAAATTTTATTGTATTGAAATTTTCCCTGTTCCTCTACCTAGATGTTTATAAGGATCCTCTATGAACAATTTGCTTGTTTTACCTTATTTGTGCATTTTACTTTCCCAAGGCCAATTAGTGATATTTCTGAAGTATAAGATATCTATATTACAGTGGAATATCTTTTAATTTATGTTTTTAATTTTTATGTTTAGCATAAGCTCTGGCTAAAGAAAAATATGACAAGGGTTACTTTCATATCCGTTTGTCTTATACCAAATTGTGATCTAATATCTATTATAGGGTTTTATTATGGAACAGAAAAGTCATATAATAAATACATAGAATTTCATACCCAATTAATCCATTTTCTCTGGCATCTATGTCTCAACTGCCAATAAGATTGACATCTGAAATAAAAAAAAATATATTATCATAATTTTCTGAAAAAGAATTATACACTGATAATGACTTCTTATTATCAGTAAGTAACAAACTTGCACATATAAATAGAATTGATGAAAATCTACTTAATATAACTTTATTTAGGTGATTTAAGTGATGTGAAGAATGTTGTATACATAAACATATATTTCTATTATAGTAATGATTTCAGGAGAAAAATTGACCTTTGGTCCTCTTAGATTAGTTTTTGAAGGTGATTATATATCAACACATAATAATCGGGAAAGGCTTTTGTTTCTGGGATAGGATTTACTCAGTTAGCTTGTCCATTAAATGACTTGAAATGAAATCCTCAATTTTATCATGCATTAGAATCTTGTGATATGCCATTATTTGAGAATGCCAGAGCCAAAGTTAATAGCACATGGTTTAAGCTCAGTGACGAGCTGGACTATGAATGCAGTGATGGCTATGAAAACACAGGCGGAAGCACCACAGGCTCCATAGTATGTGGTGATGATGGTTGGTCTGACACACCCACGTGCTATGGTAAGTGCGGTTCTTTTGTTCTTCTTCTTTCTGGTGTTCAGTTCTTTGGGATAATGTAATCTGCAGATGTTCCTTTTTTGGATATTTTAATTATCTATAGTCACTGTAAGGAAGCTGATTAAAATCAAGGTGTGTCCTTCTGATTTAATGTAAATTGGAAAGAGAAAGTGTTTGAAACCCAAAGGTAATAATCTATCTTTAAAATAGTGCATCAAAGTAATTTTTCCAATGGGCCATGTATTTCACAGATTTGTCACTAACATATAAATTGTTTTCAAGTAATCCTAAATGCAATTTTTCAAATGACTTACAGCTGGCATAATTATTATTACTCAATTATGGTTCATCACAACCTCTTCAGCTATATGACTCCCACACTTTTGCTTTTGCCTTTCCACTTGAGTGCTAATTTCTTCAATTCCTGCCAGGAAATCTTCATTTCAGATATTAACATGTTCTCTGTACTATTTTGAAAACCTCTTGTATGTTTACCTAACAGTTGTCTGTTTTCCAGTGATAAAATGTAGTCTTGAATCTGTGAAAAATGAGTGGATGTAGAGTGTTCCAAGCAAAGGAAACAATATGTGCAAATCTCTTAAAAAAAAAAAAAAAGTATTTGAGAAATGCTATGACAAGAAAAGTATAGTCCAAATGTGAGCCTAAGGCAAGATTATCCAGGATATTTTAGGACATATTAGCACTGGATTGATTTTATGCTTGATGAAAAGTAATAAAAGAGTTGGAATAAAAAAAAAAGTACCATAAAACAAAGATACAAATATATTTGCATTTATGAAACATTGTTTTTGTTCCTGGATATTGTGCATGTGGTAGTCAAGACAGGAAGCAGTGAGACTATGTAGGGTAAGAAATAGTAGGAATTCAGAAAGATGATGGCTGAGGAGATGCAGAACAGAGAATGGATTTGGGATCTACTTTGTGGTAGAAAGGAGATGAAACATTACTCAATGTTGGGAAAAGGCACTCACATATTTTCTTTGGTTCTCCAGAAACAAGTAGGGTAGTGGCATTACCAATATAGCCTGTCTATCTGCTATTTGTGTTACACCTGCAGATATGCTGCTTTTCTTAAAACTGAAAGGACTGTAGAAAATACATCCACTGGCATCCACTCTTACATAGGTGCTACATTCCTCTGTGATGGAACTGAACACATGAGACACTAACACAATGCTGGCAAAGTGAAAATCATTAGTATTACCTACGGAAAGCAAACAGGAAACAGTAAGAATAGTTTCTCAAAGGAAAAGTGCTTACTTTTCCCCCAAATTATCCATGTCCATTCTTATGCTGCTGGGCAGGCACACTGTGGTTGAGGTCAGATGCAATGATCACATCACTGCTGTTGCCTGTGTTTACCACCCTACTGCTGGGGGTCCTATAAGAGTCTGCCACTGGGCCTCACTGAGCCTCACCTTGGCCACAGGAAGACCTCTGCACAGGATATTTCAAACCTCTTCCCTGGTTCCTGCCATACGACCCAGACCTATAATGCCCTAGGGCCTGTGTGGACCCTGACTGCCCAAGGGGGAGGGCCAAGCAGCTGCGGCATGGGACCACACAAAGGACTCTGCCTTGCACAAAGAAGTATTACCATTCTTTTTGCTTCATCCACAAGTGACTGGAGGCACCCTCCCCTGTCAGCAAGCCCCTGCCCTAAGATCTCTCTCTATGAGCCAGAAAATCACAGCTGGTTTCTGAGTTCCCATCACTCATACTGTTGCTGCTGATTCTTTGCTCCTTGGCTCTGACGTGCTTGCAACTATTTCTATCCATCTCACAGCAACTTCAGTGTTACAGCTCTATTTTGCAGGTCTAGGAGTTTCTTGACACAGTGTCTCTCCAGGTTCCAAATATGAGTTCTCTCCTGACTCTTCTCATAGTGGTGAGGTCCCTCTGAATCTCTGTGGGATAGGACCTTATATATTCAAACTTCTTGTCAATTTCAGGGCATGGTCCTCTCAACAGGTCCATGATCTGACCTATCCCTTGATAGACCACAAGTCACTCAATTTTAATAGTTATATATAAACCCCTTGTAATATTATTTTGTGGGAATTGCAAGAGCATGGCTTGAAAGGCCAAATAAAAGTGATTTTCTGGCAAAGCAAGACCACTTTGAGGAAAAATACTGCAACTTTTGCATTGGACTTATTACAGGTGGACTAACGCATGGTCATTCAAAATTGTATATGTAAACTGGAGAGTTGAATATATAGGTCTAGCCAGGAGATATACATTTGGATTATCAGAATATTTATTATTACAGCAAAGCAGAAAACACACAGAATGAAGAGGAACAGAGTGTACATCTAAGAGCTGACATTTCAATATGTAAGTCACAGAGAAGGTGGCAACATAGACAGAAAGAAGGAGGATTCAGAGAATCAAGAGGAAAAACAAAAGAATGACTTGTCATAGATGTGAAGAAAAGAAAATGTTCAATATGGACATAACTCATTGAAGAAGTTTGCCTATGACAGATGATAGAAAGATACGAATATGACCAGAGGAAATTATACACTGAAGGAAACTGTTTTGTTTTTATTTTTCCTTTTTTTTTTTTTTTAACCTTGTTATGAGAACGTGCTGAGTGATGAAGATAAGGCTCTAGCAGAGAGGGAAGCAGGCAGAGATTGAGATCAGGAGATAGTTCTCTCCCTGTGAGTGTGGGAAAGAAAGGGAACCAGAATTTCTGAGGAGTTACTGGGCTTTGGTGGCAACAGGGCTGCTTCCAAATTTGTAACAGGAGGAAAGAAAGAAAATGGGTTCCATAAATTCAATGCTGGAAGAAACCGGAGAGTGATAGTTTCTATTTTCTGTGAAGTATGAGTCCAGGTCTTGGGAAAGTGAACAGTGTTTGGGTGTAGGAGAAAGAAGACTGCTGGTTAGAGAGAAAGTCTGAACTGCAGACTGCAGGGAGAAGAGTGAGTTTAGTACAATGATGAGGTAGACTAGTTTAACACTATTGAGAGTCCAGTCAAATCTGAGTCATTTAAGCTGTCAATGAACACCTGCTAAATAGGCTAGAAGAAAGTGGTGAAAAATATACATGTGTAGGCTAGGGCTGGATCATAAAGAATTTGATTCTTTTCTGTGATTAGAGGCAGATAAAGGTTTTTTAAAGTCAGACCTTAGTCAAATTTGAGGACCATTCCAATGCTGCTAGACATGACAGGAAAATGTGAAGGAGAGAAAGTTGAATAGATGGCAGTAGAAAGTAATGTGTTTAAAATGTCTTCTTTTTGCAAATTTTATAAAAAAAAATGTATGACCGTGTGAATATATTAGTGGAAATTAGTGGCACAGTGCAGGACTCCAATACTTGAATGAATGAATGACAGTTCAATATTCTTTTAAAATATAGAGTGTAAACAAATGGTAAGTTTTCTTTTCAAGGAAAAGGGTTTATCTGGGGCCCCTCTGTGTATGCAGCACCCAGCACCTTATGTTAGTATGACACATACAAAGATTATCTCGGCAAAGATAAAATCTATATTCTCATTAAACTATTTACTTTTTTTTTTCATTTTTTTAAGAAAGAGAATGCGGTGTTCCTAATATACCACAAAATGTAGAAGCTTGGCCCAAGAAAGACAAATATAAAGTTGGAGATGTACTGAGTTTCTCTTGCAGACAGAAATATCCACTAATTGGACCAAATTCAATTCAGTGCTACCACTTTGGATGGTCTCCTAAACATCCACCAAGATGTAGAGGTGAATATTTATCCTGCAACAAATGATAAAAGAATTAAATATTTGGATGTCAACACCTTCTTTTTTTTCAGTTTCTTCACCTTTCAGATTGTCTATATGCTAACACATTAAACCAGATATGTCATAACTGGGAAGGATATGGGTTGGGTGGTAGACAGCTCAGATAGATACTTCTTCAATTGTTCCTTGAAATGTGTATTGGGAGTATTCAGAGATATGTATATGGCAGCTGAGATTGAAGGTACTTCTTTTGCTTCTTTTCCTTGTCTTATAATACCATGATTAATGTTGAACATTTTATATAGATAGGTCTTACCTCATATTTCATTGTGCTTGTCTAAACAAACAACATTCTAACACTTTAAAGACAATTCAGTCACACACACACAGACACACAAACTAACTGTTATCAAGTTGTTTCTAAGTTACAGTGACACCCATTGTGTTTCTGAGGCTGTAAATCTTTAAAGAAGCAGATCGCCAGTCTTCCTTCCATGCAGCCGCTGGTGGGTTTGAACCACTGACCTTCCAGTTGGCAGTCAAGTCCCTTATCCACTACACCACCAGAGCTCTTTAATTCAATCACATGTATGGGTTAATCAAAATTAAAGTATATTGATGCAAGAGACTGTTAGACCATGTGATCCTCAACCTATATGACCCAAGACCAGAAGAACTAAGTGGTGTCTGGCTACCACTGTCAACCTCTTAGATGGGGATCGGTGCAGAAGATCCTGGATAGAGTGGGAGAACAATGTGGAACAAAACTCAGAGTCATAAAAACAAGGCAAGGTTTGCTGGTCGGATAGAGCCTGGTGAAACTCCTGAGACTATGGTCCCTAGTCACCTTTCAGGTCTGGAATTGAACTCACTCCTGTGGCTTCCAGCTGAACGATAGACAAGCATATGGGGTGAACATTTCCATCAGGTAGACACACTACTTGGAGCAATCAATCATGGGAGAACAGAAGAGCAGTGTTGGCACATGGAGACAGCTGGAGGTGTTGCATGGGAGGGAAGGACACAGGGAAGAAGTAAGTATGGGGAGGAAGTAGGAAGAGAGCTGTTAAACTGTGGGAAATTGCAGTCAATGTCATGAGACAAAATGTGTATGAACTGTTGTATATAAAATGAATTTGCTCTGTAAACTCTCACCCAAATCACAATAAAAATTAAAAAATAAATGAATAAAGTATATTGATTGTCTCAAGTGATGGCACTTTTTTCAAAAATTTTGTGACAATGTTTCTCCATGGAATATGAATATAACTTAATTTTACAAAACTATATTTGCTTATCTGTAAACATCTTTAAAATAGCTAGATTATTGAACACATTTAAAAGGCTTCATTATACCTACAATGAACTATTTTATTATATATATATATATAATGGTTGCTGTTGTTATGTGCCATTGAGTCAGACCTGACTCATATTGACTCGTAGCGACCCCTCCTTGGGTTTCTGACGTGGTATCTCAATGGAAGTAGATTGCCCAACCTTCCTTCATATATATATATATATAGGTAGGAATATATAACCTTTTGCCAATTTCACTTCATCCCAAATATATATATATGACAGAGTAGAACTGTGTATATGGTTCCCGTGGGTGTAACTTTTATGGAAACAGATTGCCATATCTTTCTCCCATGAAACAGCTGGTTGGTACAAACTGCTGAACTTCATTCAGTTAGCAACCAAGCACTTAACCACTGCACTAGTTTAAGTAACAGCTTTGAAAATAATTTTCAGAAAAACACCATTATTTTTCCATTTTCATTGTTTAAGAATCCTTTAATAAAACAAATGAACTGAGCAGTGTTCCTTTCTGTTGTACATAGGGTCACTCTAAGTTGGAGCCAACTTGACAGCACTTAACAACAAAAACAATAAAATAATTAAATAAAGATCCCAACATGTTGCTTATTTTTTTTTTTTTATTGTAAAACAAACTACCATTATTTTAACACTATTTCTATTGTAGGGAAAGTAAAGTCTTGTGGTCCACCTCCTCAGCTCTCCAATGGGATAGTTAAGGAAGAAAAGAAAGAAAAATATGAACACAATGAAGTGGTGGAATATGGTTGCAATCCCAGATTCCTGTTAAAGGGATCTAAGAAAATTCAATGTGTTGATGGAGAATGGACAACTCTGCCTATATGTGTTGGTAATGTACACAAAATATTCATATTTAAATTTGAATCACCAATTTCTATTTGCATTCATATAAAGGCAAATTATGTTTTAAAGATAAACTTATTTTTGTGAAATTTACATAGAGGAAGCCAGTACATGTGGAGAAATGCCGACACTCCAGAATGGCTATAGTTTGCCCTCTGACCCTCCCTATCACCATGGAGAATCAGTGGAGTTCAGTTGCGCAGAATCATTTACGATGGTTGGACACAGATCAGTTACGTGTGTTCGTGGAACATGGACCCAACTTCCTCAGTGTGTTGGTAAGAATATACTTTTCAAATTGACATTTAATAAACTTTAATATTTTTCTGTAAAAATATATTTAGAGATATTGCTGAAAATGTCAGGTGTTAAATTATAATGAATCTAATCGTTTGTTGTTTATAACTCAACATGTGTGTATAGGGTAAAAATATAAACTAGCAAAAGAATATTATGGTTCTTCTGTTCCTGTTATATTGTGGTTTATTGTTAAAAATGAGAAGCTAAATTTTACTTATAGATCACCTTATGATATAAAATAAGAGTACAAAGTATCAGGAAAAGTATAACTTTTGCATAAATACCAGCACTGTTGCTATATGACTCATTCTTTCAGGACCTGGAAATATAAAAAATAAAGGTCAGAAAATACTCATTTTGTAACTTTCGCCTCTTCAGAAAATTTCCAACAATGATCATTTCTGTGTGTTGCAAATGCAGCAGTGAATGTGCTGCAGTGTGGGTGTCCACAGGCCCCCTCAGTCAAAGTGTAACTTAGCACATAATGAAGTAGAGGCCTGGCCAGGAAACAAATCAGAATGATGGACTTAACTCTGTGATTCTACCTGCTTTCCCCTTTTATTCCTGCAATAAACGTCCTTGCGCATGTTGGTCTTTGTGAACTTAGGTGAACATTTCTGATGAAATATTTTTAGACAGAAGGTAAGGTACCAGGGTCATCATTGGCTCACTAACACCTTTGGCTCTGAGGGCTATGTCCCTGAAGCTCTTCGAGGGCTGGTCTAGGGCCTCAGGCTTTTTTTTTTTCCCCCGCCTTTAACTTAATCTCTTTTTAAAAAGTATTGATTCCTCTTTGAGTGAAAATTTACAGAGAAAATTAATTTGCGTTCAATAATTTATACACGTTTTGTTTCATAACATTCGTTGCAATTTGTGTAACAAATTGTTACCAGTGTAACTGCAATCTTCCTGATTCCTCTTTGGGTTTCCCTATTTCCATTCTCCCTTCTTTCCTGCCCCTTCCTGCCATCTGAGCTTTGTTTTGTGGCAAATGCTGCCACTTCCCCTACCCCCACTCCTTTTTAAATTGTGATTTAGATGAAAGTTTACAGAGAAAATTCATTTTCCATATAACAGTTCATACACATTTTGTTTAATGACACTGATTGCTATCCCTATAATGTAACACCTCTCTTCCCACTTCCTCCTCATGGTTACCCCTTCTCTGTGTATTCATTCCTGCCCTCTGAGTTGTTGTTGTTGTTATGTGCCCATCGAGTCACATAACCTCCACCAATTATCCCCTCACAACGTTTCTTTTGATCCCTCTCTAGCTGGGTTCTCCATTCTTCCAGATATGATTATTTTTCAGCAAATAAACAAAGAAATCCAGTCACAAAACCATCAATCACATGACATAACAATGACAACACCTTCTCATGACTATAAATCTTCCTGCAGTTAGTACTGTGCCACATAAAACAGCTTGCTTTGTCTCCAGCAGTACTTTGCACTGTGTTGTAGATCTTTCTTTCCTTTAAAAGGGAATAAATTTCCCTGAAGTCTCTACTGTGCTGTGATCAGACTCCTTTCTTTCAAGATTGCATTACAAAACCATTACTTTTCTTTGATCAGTTACTTGACTTTTCTTTACTCTGCTCAATCTTACTCAACTCCGCTTTTCTAACTGTTAACAACAAATATCATCAAAGACTTATATTGCTGCTTTACCAAAGACAAAAAGTAACCCCATAATCATAGAATAATTGAAACATGTAGCTATATAACAAGCTTCCATTGGCTATACATTTACCCATTTTGAGCCAGTAAAGATTTATTATTATGGCATTGCAATCTAATTGGATTATAGGATGATGTGGTGTATAGAATAGCTTCTCGAAGACCCTAAAATTATATAATAAAGGAGGTTGTGATCTTCCATACCTAGTTTCTTATTCCAAGTACCTCTCTCTTTTCTTGTTTTTTTTTTTTTTTTTTTG